TTGGACTCTATAGTTTTATTTAAGTCTGTATCAAAATTGGACCAAATCAAATCAATTTCTTCTCATCTTGATATTAAAAACTAGCAGATGTATTTGAGGTCGTTTGAAGCTTTTGCCGTGAGGAGCCTTCTGAAGAAGTAATAACCTTCAGTGGAACCTTACCTTTGCTATTGTGCCTCACCGTGGAGCGCAGCATCCCCATGAACTTGAAAATTCATGACTAATAAATTCAGTGTGAACGAAGCTATAAGACATCGAAGGTCACGGTTGTTTTAATGAGGATTTCATATCACGGACTGCCAAGAAACCCATCATCTGGGTCAGAGCTTTAGACGTTAATAGATTTATATTTTTATAACCCTGGGACTCCGAGTGGAAGAAGAGTGCGTGGCACATCCCATGGAAAAGTTGTTGGACGCCGCTGTGTTTCGGCTTCCATTTATAACAAATGGAAAGATGTGTATCGTAAGCCTTCAGAGATCTGGGTGAAAATGTACTGTATAGCTGAATAATACTCTTATTGCAACCAACTTTCGGAACAAAATCCGCGACGTGTAAAATTTTCGCTCAAGGATAGCCCACAGAGAAAGCTCTTGATTATCTGGAAGAGAAGGTCTTTTAGTCTTTGAAGCCGTGTGGATTCTCCTTCTGAGCTATGTCTGAAGAAACTTCATTGGAAGGTGAAAAATTCGCTCGCTAAAGATTTTCTGCGTCATTTTGCCATTATCCACGACGGGCGAATTCTCGCTGTAGTAAACTCACAGCAAAACTGTTACACCTGGAAAAGAAGAGCTTTTTATCTTTCCAAGCCGTTCACATTTCGCTCTGCGTTATATCTTAAAGAAGTGCTGCCTTTCCAAAGATAAAAAAAACTTGCGTTTGCCCAGAATTTCCCGCGCTGTTTCTAATTTTAGGCCGTCATGTAGACCAAGTGACAGCTTTAGCACATTTTGTAAACCTTTCCACAAACCACGAATCCAGCTTTTAGCATGGGAGAAAATCGGTTTCTGATGATATTGTGATGAAGTTCATTGGAAGTCCAGCAGATCGTCAGCGCTGTGTTATCACAGCACGCCACGCAACCCCAGAAATCGAGTAGATACTTGGACAGTTTACGAGGGGGCGGACCGGATGGACTTTTCCTATTGGCGGGGGAGGTCGTACAGACAGGGCGATTTTCCGTGATTCGTACGTGACCCTGGTCAGGAGTCACTACCGTGATGCAGCAAGGTCACTGCGAGCGACGTCCATCAGAGTCAAGTAGTAGTACATGTTGACGTGCTCCTTGCCCTGTACTGAATGCCATATGGTGCTTGCCCATGCACTAAATACATTGGTATATGAAATGCACGTTCTTAAACAGGTGTTGAATTTTT